TCTGTTTTACTACCACACAGAATGTCTTGTAAAATATTCAGATCAATAAAAAGTAAAAAGCCCAAATCCTCGATTGTTTGCCTCTTGGATCAATGTAATATGCAAACTGGCTACAACGGATGATGGTCTGAAAGATTGACTTAAGACTCAGAGACGGAAAGCTGAATTCTGAAGCGGCAGCTACAGAAGAAACAATTGAAACCCCTCTCTCAGATTGAAATATGCCCCCTCCAGTGTAACACTTAAGTGAATAAAAATAAATTTTCTTATTATGTTTCAGATGTATTTACTGCCTGTCCACCTGCAACCCCACTGTGATTCCCAAGAATCCCCTATCCAAGGCCAAAATTTTCCTGGCATAGTGCCTCTGTTTAAGTTGTATATCTGCGAAATCCTGATTTTGTTTAGTGATACAAGCTATTAACATGTGCTGGGTATCTCATGTTTGCCAGTATTTGGGACTGAAGCTGGTGGATATGATATTCAATTAGTTTCCAAGGTATCTGTTAGATTGTAAACTCTTTGGAGCAGGGCCCATTGTTTGGTTATAGTCTTAGCTTTATACATTATCTAGTACAGATGGCCCCTCCAGTCCATAAATAGGGCCTCTTGGCACAACTGCAATACAAACAATGAACAATTGAATAATATATTCAGCAAAGCATTTCTGATAAACTTTAGAGCTATTTGAATAGAGCACAATACACCTGGAGAATAAATTATGTGACAAAACCCAGTAAATTTGTCAAATACCTTTCATTAATATTATATGACTAGCTCTATTTGGTAAGGGGTTGCGTCTAATAATGAAACATGAATTTGGCTCCTGGAGAACTTTCAGTCTGGGAAAACATATAACAGTGTTTCTGTCACTTTCTGAAAGGTTTATAGGTGATGTTTTGTAGACTGTGATAGTTTGTAACTGCATATAGTTTTTGTTATACAGTATCTAGATTTATGTAGATATTACTGTATTTGCATTGTTAAGGCATTGTAATGTTAATTACATTGTAATTAAGTTAGGGAGAAGAAAGCAGTTAACAGAAGACTGAATTCTGCAGTAATCTACTAGATATGAAAATGAAAAACATCTAAAGTGAAGTAGGGACCCCTATAGGTTGTTCTCAGAAGGAGGCTGGAAACATAGTGAATATGCGCTTGGTTTGGTATGCCCTATGGTTTTGGAGTGTAGTGATGCCCTGATGAGCAGCTGTCCTCCCAGCCCTCTCCCTGGCTCCCTAGCCACGGATCCAGTTCCTCATGGAGCTCCCACAACAAGAAGAGCTTCCATGAGGCTGGAGGAGAATGCTGAGGAGCAAGTTTCCCATGCCTGTGGAAAGTGAGAGGAGAATTTGGACCTACAAATTTTATTACTCAGGTACTTTGTGGCAATCCTACTCCGTCACTTTTAGCCCAACTGTAACAGGGACAGTCGCAGTGCTAAAACAACCCCCCTGTACCACAATGCATCACAGTTAAAAATAAAATATTCTAGCTGTGACAGTGTACCCCATAAGGCTTTATGGGGAGGGGGTGCTTATAAATGTATGTATGACATAACTGGAATATGTTTGGTGCTGCCTGTGCCAGGTAACATATCTCCGTAAAGGTTATGGTCTACTATATCTATTCATCGTATTTGTACATATATATATCATTTTCTACTTGAGGTTAAGAATATGGGCTGTATGCTTGCTTGGTTTCTAAGTAAGCTTTGGGAGGCATTTGGTCAGCTTCTTTAGGAAGGAATTCGCCAGGTTAAGTACCTGATCAGGGAACAATGCATCTTGGAATGCTCCAATCCACATAAGAAGTCTTCCTGGAGACATGCAAGATTCCATGTGGGCAATGGCTTCAGCCTGTAAAGACTGAGTCATGCAGGGACATGTGACTTGCCCAGGTGACTCCAGAACTCCATCTTGGAGCTGGACTTTGCATAGGAGGGAGGAGGGGGGTCTCCTCCCACAAGAGAGAGTCTATTTAACCCTGGGGGAGACCCCTCCATTTTGTCTTCAGCTGGCTAAAGAAGGAGCCTCTCCACCCCCCCAGGATGCTTGAAGGAAACTGAAACAAAAGACAGTAGCTACAGGGGTTGTGAGAGATTGCTGGACCCAGGCTAAAGGGAGATTAGCCTGTAAAAGGGAGCATTCTGGAACTGGTGAGGAACTTATCTGTATTTAGTTTGATTAGGCATAGATTTGCGCATTTTATTTTATTTTGCTTGTGACTTACTTTGTTCTGTCTGTTACTACTTTGAACCACTTAAATCCTACTGTCTGTATTTAATAAAATCACTTTTTATTTAGTAATTTACTCAGAGTATGTATTAATACCTGGGGGAGCAAACAGCTGTGCATATCTCTCTATCAGTGTTATAGAGGGCGAACAATTTATGAGTTTGCCCTGCATAAGCTTTATGCAGGGTAAAACGGATTTATCTGGGTTTAGACCCCATTGGGAGTTGGGCATCTGAGTGCTAAAGACAAGCACACTCCTGTGAGCTGTTTTTGGGTAAACTTGCAGTTTTGGGACAAGTGATTCAGACCCTGAGTCTGTGTTGGAGCCAGACAGGAGTGGCTGGCTCAGCAAGACAGGGGGCTGGAGCCCTAAGCTGGCAGGGAAAACAGAAGCAGGGGTAGTCTTGGCACATCGGGTGGCAGCTCCCAAGGGGGTTTCTGTGATCCAACCCGTCACACTAGCATTCCAAATAACGTTATTTTTTAAAATTTAATGCAAAATGCCATGCAAATAAACATGGCCACTCACTTTATGATAGTGCTTTGAAGACTGCTTGAGGCATCAAGGAGGCCTAGTGGCCTGAAACACTGGGGTATGAATCTTTAACACAATTCATCTTGTCACTGCAATAACAAGATCTTTGGCACAATATAACTGCTCTGATTAATGCCTAATCAATATTTCACATGAATTTAAAAGGTGGTGTGAGTCACACCTATGTAATATTGATGCTGAAAAACAGGAGGAGTCTGACAGAAGTACTGTATGCAACACAGATTTGTCTGTTCCATTGGGCCTTTAAGTGAATTGACCGTTTAGTGGTTGACAATGATGTAGGAGAATGTGGACCTTTGGGAGGATATTTCTTTCCAAAAGTCCTAACGTAAGGTCAATAGTTTTGTCCCTCATTAAAGAGGTTTTCTCCAAAAATCTCCACTTTTATTGACTTACAATGTGTCATATAGGTCTCGTTTTCTATTAAACTCTAATTTTTTTGAATGAGATCTGAAAACATTGTAATAGAAATTGGTGACTTCATTAAAAACAGGGACAGGTTTAGTATTTTTAGACCATACCTATATATATATATAAACTGAGAATAATGGTAATCATAATTAATAGCTCTTATATGGCATTTTTATCAGTAGAGCTCAAATCGCTTTATGAAAGAAGTCTGTGGAGTGGGCTAAGAGTAGGAGAAACTGCACCTAGAAGGATGGTGTTTCTCCATGACATAATCCCCGCCTCAAAGATACGGGTCTTTAACAGGTAAATTAATGCAAATCCTGTCAGTATCATCTTATCCAGGTAGCAGGAGTTTCACTATCGTAGCACTAGAAAATCTAGTTGGAGCACAGAACTTCTGACCGTGTCTTTTGGATGTCCTGAGATCTGTGCAGAACTTGAAATCCACTGCTGTTGGGGGCTGAACCTTGTGGAAGTTCAAGTTTCTTACACATTTAATTCATATGAAGAGGACAAAATGGCTTTATAATAGGAAGACTAAATAATGTAGAATCTATAATAGACATATTCATCAAATTAGTCTGTTACTGATTTTGAGGATGTTAAATTTTCTGTCTTTTCTTCCCTTAACTTATTTGCCCTGTGTGGTCTGTCTAGAACAGGGGTTGGCAACCTACGGCACGCGTGTCAAACATGGCACGCGAGCCGGTTCTGAGTGGCACACAGCTCCCCTGCCGCGGTCCCGGCCCCCAGCCCCACTCAGCCCCCTCCCGCCCACTGCTCTCCCCGGAGGGGGCAGGAGGCAGAAGCTTGGTTCTGCGGCAGCCAAGCTTCCCCCTTCCCACGCTTCTTCCCCCAGCGTGGTGTTTTCCTGCCCCGCCTCCTCTCCCTCCCTGGCCAATCAGCTGATGGCCCTAGCGAGGGAGAGGGGGAAGAGCGGCAGCGTGCACACAGCTCTGCAGAGGAGGCAGAGAGAGGTAGGGACAGAGCCTGGGGGAAGGGGGTGGAACAGGGCATATCCCTTCCAGCCCCCTGCCCTGAGCTGCTCAGGGCAGGGGGCTGGGAGCATCCCCACGAGCCGAGCACCCCAGCCCTCTGCCCTGACCCCCTCCACACACACTCAGCCTTCTGCCCTGCACCCCCCACACACCCCAGCCCTCTGCCCTGAACCCCCCCCCACACACTCAGCCTTCTGCCCTGCACCCTCCATACCCCCAGCCCTCTGCCCTGACCCCCGAACCCCCCCCCCCCCAGGTCTGGGGTCCCGGCCGCAGGCCCTGATCAGCCCTCTGCCGGCCTAGGTGAACAGAACCCCAGGCTGGCAGCGAGCTGAGCAGGCTGGTGGCGTAAGATCATCATTTTAATTTAATTTTAAATGACGCTTCTTAAACATTTTGAAAACCTTGTTTACTTTACATACAATAGTTTAGTTATATAATATAGACTTATAGAAAGAGACCTTTTAAAAACATTAAAATGTGTTACCGGCACGCGAAACCTTAAATTAGAGTGAATAAATGAAGCCTCGGCACACCACTTCTGAAAGGTTGCCGACCCCTGGTCTAGAATGAGCAGCCTTGTTGTGCTGCTATGTAAATAAAGAGTACTTTTCTATTTTGTAAAATTTATACAAGGATGTGAAAGGATCTCCATATTCGGCAACTGTATCGGTATGAACTTATATATGAAAGATAATTTTGAGATTACTTTAGTTTCTGTTACTGCAATGGCAGAGACATATATTGAAATACATTTGGGAGGCAGGCTTGCCTTTTTTTTTTTTTAAAAAGACTTACCAAAAGCTATGTTTCTGAAAAACAACTGAATTAAGATCTTTGCTTAAAATTGGCTTCTTGGTGCAATTGTTTAGCTTTTGCCCCATCATTCTCCGAATTAAAGCATCATCTGTATTTGGAAATAACTGTTTTGTGATTCCTGCAAAATAAAGAGATGACATTTATGAGACCTTCAGATCAAAGTGCCAAATCAGGGAAAATATTAAGTGTATGATCCAAGTTGCATCAATTGGGCTTATGAAATTTAAACATCCAAAAGAGACTTACTCTACTCTTTTCTGTATTTGGCCTCTTTGCTCCCCTTGCCCACTGCTCTGCCTGGTTCACCAATTTCCGGTCTGGTTTTCTCCTTCCATATTGCCAGTCCTGCTCTTACTTTGTTGGGCAACTCAGAAGGAAGTCCCATGACCTTGATGACTTCCTGTACTATATTCTTCCTATATATACTCTGCCTTTCTTCCTTTATCTCTGTTCTCTTCCTGGCCAATTAATCCTAATCCTACCCTCTTATCCACTCCCATGACAGCTCTTCACCACCTTTGTCTCTTCTTACTTCTTCCTCTTCCATTTCTGTTCCTCCTGCTCTGTCTGCTCAGGGGCTGGCTGACTTCTTTGAATGCAGCACTCACATGACCCAGCAGGAGCTCTTTTACTTCCTGCTTCCCTGACTCCCTCACCATCCTCACCTCCGCCTTTGATTTTATCTTCTTTTAACCATGTGTCCCACTATGAAATCTTCTAGCTTCTATTTTCCTGAAACTCTTTGATTGGCCAGCTTGTTCCTATCTCCTCACACATCCTAAAACACCTGACTTGCTCCTCGTTCCTTCTTGGTCTCTTATCAGTTGCTCTCGCTGTTTTGACTCCTTCTCATCTGCATTCAGGCATATTGTTTCCCCTCACCTAACAAAATCCTCCTTTGACTCCTGGTCTCTTTCTATAGCCTTCCCTTTATTTTTGAGCTGCTTGTCATCATCTTTCTTGATACTTCCCAATTAGGGGTCAGTGCTTTATAGCCTTCTTCCAAAATTCATGATTTTATGCCAGACTGTCAGGCAGATTGATCTCTCTGAGGTCCATTGATATTCAGTCCATGTACTGAGTCTTTGGTCTCTCCCTTGGTCACCTTCCATCCACAATCATGTCAAGAGCTATACTACTGATATAACTCTCTGGGCTCTGCTGAATATGCCCATACTAAAATAGCCTAGTCTCCCTCAACTTGTCTTCAACTGGAGCAACTCGCATTAAGCCTCTTCTAAGCTCATTTTGTTTCCTGTCACAGAGTGTTCAACCATTTGACCATCTCAACATCTTCATTTCTGTGGTGGGGAGCATACTAATTTCCTTTCCTGTGGCTGGCCAAGTCTCTATTTGTACATTAAGATGGGTTGAATTACATTTTATACACTCTACCTTTTACATAAGAACGTAAGAACAGCCACAATGGGTCAGATCAAAGGTCCATCTAGCCCAGTATCCTGTCTTCTGACTGGCCAATGCCAGGTGCCTCAGAGGGAATGAACAGAACAGGTAATCATCAAGTGATCCATCCCCTGTCGCCCATTCCCAGCTTCTGGCAAATAGAGGCTAGGGACACCATCCCTGCCCATCCAGGTTAATAGCCATTGATGGACCTTCCTCCGTGAATTTATCTAGTTCTTTTTTGAACCCTGTTATAGTCTTGGCCTTCACACATCCTTTGGCAAAGAGTTCCTTTTAACTTTATTGGCATCTTTTTATCATAGAGAACTGGGATCAATGCCTGCCATTTGCACCATGCAGCTTTAGTACAATGCTTGGCATCTTTCAGGAGGGAACCAGAGTCAGCCATTGATCCTGGGAATTTAAATTTTTTCACCCTTCTAAGCTCTCTGCCTGTGATATCCTTTATGGTGGGTCCTCCCTCCTCAGTCATTTTCTATTGTAGCCCTATTTAGCTTTGACTCTGGAACTCATTCCATCATACGTATCCTGGAAAAGATGGACATATCCTTCTGGCACACTTCTCCATGATTGTACACCTTTTCTAGGTTCACAAAGATCTTACCCAGTTACTATCTCTCTTCTTTGAACTTCTCCATGAGGATTCATAGTGCAAATATGACATCAATTGTGCTCTTTCCCAGCATGTACCCATGCTGACTCGTCCAAACTTCAACCATTCCACATATCTTCACGCTGCTTGTATAGCTGTCTATTCCCAGTGCCTTGATTCCCGCTCCTCCACCCCCCTTTACAATTCCCTCCTGTTTGACTTCTGCCCACTCCATTCCACTGAACTTGCCCTCACAACAGTCACTAATAATCTTTCCCATTCCAAGTCCAGCGTCTGTTCTCCAAACTCACTCTGCTCAATCTTTGCTGCCTTTAACATCATCAAATACCCACCTTTCTGTAACACTCTTTCTTCCTTGGGCATGATTAGCTATCGTTTTCTTCTTACCTGTCTGACTGCTCCTTCCGTGCTGCATTTGGTAGGTCCCCCATCGCCTCTCCCCAATATGCTGGTGATTCTTAGGGGTCTGTCCTTTGTCCTCTCCCTCCCACCCACTGGCACTTGGGAAATTGATGAGGTCACCAAGACCTCTCCTCTTACCTCTGTTGATGACTCCTCAATCTACCCAGCTATCTGTCCAGGCTTGCATCTCTTCCTAGCTCTCTGATACTTCAAGAATGGCCTCATGTTTTTTAAAAACTAAACATGGAAAAGACCTTCTAAATCTTTCCTCCTACAAACACACTTTCTCTATCACTTTTGACAACTCCAACTTCCGTGTCGCCTAATGCTAAAATCAAAATAAACAAACAAACTTTGGAGTTATCTTTAGCTGCTCTTTTCTTCTTTTTAACTAAAATTAGGTACTTCCCTTATCTTGTCACTCCTCCTTCTATAACACTTCTAAAATTCACCCTTTCCTCTCCACATGTGCTGCCAAAATACTTGTTCATGCCATAACTCTATCTCACCTACACTACTATAACCTCTTTCTCTCTTCCCAAATTACTTCTCCCTACTCCAGTCTAGCCACCACTTTGACAGGTAAAATAACCTTCCTCTTCTACATTAGAACCAGGTCAATCCCTCAAGTCTCTTCACTATCTCCCTCTCTCTTTTGGCATACATTTCAAGCTCCTTGTCCTCCCTTTTAAGATGACACCCAGCTCTGCCCTGCCGACATTTCACTGCCTGTTGCTAACCATCTTGCCATCCTACACTTAAAAGAAACAAGGTAGGAAGAATAGTTAATCTCCTACTCCCTCTTTCACATTTGGGTCTTTGTTTTTCACGTTGCTCCTTAAACCTGAAATGAACCACCCTTTGGCCATGTCTACACTACCCGCCGGATCGGCGGGTAGTAATCGATCTATCGGGGATCGATTTATCGCGTCTCATCTAGATGCGATAAATCGATCCCTGAATTGACGCCCGTACTCCACCTTGGCAGGAGAAGTAAGTGGAGTTGACGGGGGAGCCGCGGCGGTCGACTTGCCGCCGTGAGGACGGCCAGGTAAGTCGAACTAAGATACTTTGACTTCAGCTACGCAAATAGCGTAGCTGAAGTTGTGTATCTTAGATCGATTCCCGCCCCAAGTTTAGACCAGCCCTTTCATGGGCACCAACCATCTTCTGTCTTTAAGCCCTTCTATTAAGCCCTACTTTATTTGCCTTGCTTTCCATTCCTGTGCCTCATCCAATCTTAACCTCTTTCAAAATATCAGAACTTATGTTCACTCACTACAGAATATAGCTAGCTTTATTTATATTTATATAAACTCTTGTCCTCTCTTTGCCTACCATTTGACTACTTTAGGTGGTATTTTTAGTTTCTGTAAAGCATCATGCAATATTACAGTGCTATATAAATGCTTAATAATAAATATTAATAATCCAAAATCCACATAATAGGAACAAAAGGTATTTTGCTTTTTACTGATTCTGCACTTTTAACAGTAATGAGATAATAAATGTGAAAAGACCAAAACAAATACAAATGAATTAGTAACATGAATGTGGCAGTTGAAAGTGCGACGAAAAATAAGACACAGTGCCATATCAAGTAATATAAACTAGTCATCACCTATGATTTCCTGAACTTCATTCTGATTCATTGCTGGTTTTGCTGCTTTATCCTTTGAAGAGGAGGATTTTGCACCTGTCAGACTGTGCGTGGCCATGTACTCGTGTGTATAAAGGGCTTGCATCAAATCATTTATAAACTTTTGAGGCTTGCTCTTGTTACAAAGGGCAATCTGCCATTTTTCAATCTTGAACTGAAAAATACAATTGTCATAGACATGACTGTTCCAATCCTCACAAAATACAACCAAATGTAAACATGCTTTTTAAAAAAAAAATTATTTCCAACATTTTAACATTTTCAAAAGCAGCATCTGCACCAGTGCACTCAAAACTGTGTGCCCAAGGTGTGTGCACCTCTAATTTTGGAATTGCACATGTAAAATACATTTTGCAGATACAAGGGAGGGGCCAGATTGTGGTGCCTTACTCATGCTGGTGAACGTTTTCTCAAGCAGGCTCACCGGTTTCAATGGAACTACTCGCCTCAGTAAATGCTCACCAATGTTAGTAAGAGCTCCAAAATCTGGACCTAGGCTATTAGCTATCTAATGCAGCTGCTGTTTGCATGTAGAAATCAGAGTACTTGGTCTCCCCCAAACTTGGGTTTGCAATTTTAACCCATGTGAATTTAGAGGCAGGGTTACGACCACTTAGAAAATATGGGCCTGTATGCTTATTTGGAGATGTCAGGGTAGATTTTGTACAGAACAGTTGTCATATTTAATTTAATTTAATAAAATCATCATCTCTTAATAGTCTTGAATGGATTTTCCAATTTAGGGACATGTGAAATAAAGTCCATACAACTGATCTGTACAGATTGGCATGACTCAGTACATTGAAACATTTATGTAAATTATGAATGCAAAAACTAATGGTGTTATTATTTAATTAAATCTTTAAATTGATATTTTTCCTGTACAGATTCTGTGCCTGTGATCTCCTGATAATACTATAATGGAACATCTGGGACCAGGTTGCTCCATCCAAAATCAGAGTAACTCCAATTAAGTTCTGGCCAATCTCTTTAACGTGGGCAGAAAGACACTCTTCTCCCTTTGTTTATTTATTTATTATTTAAAAAAGAAAGAGTTAGACCTTCTTTCATAACTTTAAGGTCATATTTTCCCCTCAGCTGTTTGAAGTCAATCAAAGTCCCCCCTGCACAGCCAAGCATAGGATTTATTCCTTGAATTGAAAAGCATTTCATGCTGGTCCATGCTCTGTCCTCACCCACGGACATGAAAATCTACTGAAGTCAAGGGAGTGGCAAAATTGCACCTGAGGGTGCACTGTGATTCACTGTGTCTAAAGGGAAACCTCTCGCACACAAAAGGATAACGGTTATTTATTAATAAATTCCTTAACTATCCTAATTACTGTCTGATAATAAAATTATCATTACTGAGGTTTACTTTTCTTTACATAGTCTCAATAAACATTGCAATATATCAACTTTTATTTAACTCTTATTGCTGAAATAAGCTTTCAGCTAACCTGTTTCTCAGGCTGTTGCTCCTCTTCCTCCATGTTCAATGCTATCGGTGAATTGGAGTTACTGTGGATAGTTGCATATGAATCTGATAAAGAACTGTTTGATGCTTTCCAGACTGTGTGTGAATGAATACTGGAGGCAGATGTGGTCACTCCCCCCTTGAGCAGGGCCTCAGCCATACCTACCAGTTCCTCAAAATGTGTGACTGCCTGTGGCAACACTGAAATTGGAAAGAGTGATCACTAAGAATAGCCACTGATGCTACTAAACTTTGGTTTAGTTTCATGTATACAGGTATTTTTGTAACCAAACTCCTGTCACAGTAGTAAAAAGAACAGGAGTTGCAGTCTCCTTTTAGACCAACCCCAGCAATCAGCAGAGATATCATTAGAACGGTGTTTTCTTTTTTTAAACTCCTTTCCTGTCACCAAATAAACCCCAAAATGGAGATCAGGCTTCCAGTATAAGCAGTGTGCTAGCTGTCTGCGGATTGTTAAAAGGAGCCATCGGTTAACACATGCCCACTGTAATGCTGACCTGGCTGTTTTTCATGTCTTTCTCTTACACTGCTTTCTCAAAATATGTACAGCACTACAAGATTAAAGAGTATGGGCCAAATTCAGAATAGTTAGAAGCAGGTCCAATTCTATTCACTTGAATGGAGATATGTCTGGCTGCATTTGACCTTTTATTTCTTGCTATAAGAAATCCTTTAAAATGTCCCCTTATTTGGTCAACACATTATTTACACAGATGAGTTTTTCTGGAGTGAGTCCATTACAAAGATTACATTCAGCGGAGTGGCAAAGCATGATCCGATGAAACACTGTAAGAGATAAAGAGGAAGCAAAAAGCACAGTAATTAAACTAATAGAAATTATACAGCAAGAGGGAAATGTGAGCACTCAAGAGGAAAGTAGAAATAGACCTAGCAATTTAAATGAAATGGACAGATATTAACAATCTTTTACTGGACCAACTTCTGTTGGAGAGAGAGTAAGCTCTCTCTGGGTAAGCTCAAAACTTGTCTCTCTCACCAACAGAAGTTGGTCCAATAAAAGATATTACCTCACCCACTTTGTCTCTCTACTATCCTGGAACCAATACAGCTACACCACCGCTGTATACAGATATTAACAATATCAGATTCAACCAGAAAAAATGGTACTGATACATTTAGAGAAAAACAATTCAGAATACAAAGGTAAAATGGGTGAGGGAAGACTGAAACAAAGTAACAATGAGAGAGGACTAGGTAGACAATGAACTGAACTGAATATGTGCTTGCATCATCATATGGTGACCAAGGGGGAAAAAAGCAATGTTATACTGGGTTGTATATACGGTGGCATCATGTTACTGATAAGGCAGGTGACAGACCCTATTTAAGCAGCTTTTGTTCATTTACATTTTGGATGCTGCATACAGTTTTGGCTGTCCATATTAAGAAAACAACAATGAATTGGAGGGGGATCCAGAGAAGACCAACTAAGGTGATTAATGTTAAAAGAGCTAAATGGGTATAAATTGGGTAAAAGATTACAAGGCATCACCTAGAAATAACTGATGATTTTCAAATGGAAGAAATTATTTGGTTCAGGGATGAATAATTAGAACTGAAGGGACAGAACTAAGTAGGGGAAATTTTAGAATATCAATAATTGCCGAACAATAACGTCAGTTAGACTTTGATCAGTGGAGTCCCAGTTGCTGGAGTTATTCAGACTTGACCTACAGTTATACAAGGCACATGGAAATGTTCTATGAGGAACAATCCTGCTGATTTAACAGATTTTTTTCCATCTTTAAACTCAATGATCTCACGGTCTCTTTTTAAGTTGATTTCATCTGTGGGCTAACTGGAATTAAATGCTGTAGTTATGCAGAAATGACTTTTTTTTACTAATTTGGAGCTAGATCTTGACAGATGCTTGAGCACTCACAATTCCCATGTAAGTGTCCTCACAACAATCAGGACTTTATGTGCTTTCAGCTCTCCTCTTCATCAAAAAGTGTCAATTTTTTCATGTTCTCTGTGTATATATATCTTCCTACTCTATTTTCCACTGCATGCATCCGATGAAGTGGGTTTTAGCCCACAAAAGCTTATGCTCAAATAAATTTGTTAGTCTCTAAGGTGCCACAAGTACTCCTCATTCTTTTTGCTAATATAGACTAACACGGCTAGCACTCTGAAACCCATTTCCCCCAAAGTTTACCTTGAAGCATGACCAGTGACTGCCGTAGGCGACAGTTTTCTCTCATAGTGTCTGTCAGTTTCCTTTTCAGACTTTTTATTTTGGCACATAGTTCCACTTTGGACAACTGAAACAAGGGCTCCTCATCATCACTGCTGCTTTCGCTGTACAGAAAAGCATTTCCAGAAAATGGTTCTCTCTGAAAAAATAAATAAATTGGGCTATAAAGCAACAACAGAAAATAAAAATATCTACTATTAAACTGTCTGGCTAAAGGAGGATATTCTCTTTACAAAGACACACAAAGTATAAATATGAGTTCACTTTAATAATCAACTTAATTAACATTGATATTGTAATTCAATTTACAACCAAACTGGTTGACTACAATATTAACAATACTTAGCTCTAATACATTACTTTATATGTCCCCAGCACTATATGAACATTTATTAAGATAGCATCGTTCAGCGGCACTTAATTCATCTAAAATTTTAAATAAATTATTTTTTTAAATGTGAACCTCAGCTTTGTTGTGCTGTACAGCTGCAAATTACTGATGACAAGATGTTTTACCTGTTTGTTAATTAAAGATGTTTCAAGTTGACTCAGGATGTTGGCAGAGGCAGAGGCCTGTAATGATTTCTTTTTTATACTCTTCATCATTTTCCCCTGAAAACAACCGCATGATAATACATTTGTGCTCACATAGTGCTTTCTATCAGAAGATCTCATTGTACACTACAAACATTTATTCATTTTGGGCTTACTATGTCCTTTGAGTAGAAAAAAATATGTCTGTATCTCTTGTCAGTTCTGAGATCCATGGGTTCTCCTGAGTAATTTGCAGATCTCAGTCCATGGCAGACTTCAGAAGCCATGACTCCTGCCCACTGTATGTGTCGTCAGACCCCTTTCTCATTGGGGATGATGCAGTGCAGCTGCACGACATCCAAAGCTGTGAAGATTCTACACACATTTTCTCCTTCTGCAACTTCTGATAAGGATGGAGGGAAGATCTGGACCTGTGTTATCAATTACCCCAACATGTCATTGAGCTAAGGCATGTGAAGGCTGCCTTTGTCCCCACTGCCAACATACACATACTGTGTACCCAGAAAAGTCAGTAACAATGGACTGGAACATTATACTAAGGCACAAAAGTAACAGGTTCACACCTGGGAAAACAACAGAGACTGAAAACCCACCTGCCCTTTGTCCAGGTCACTATCTTCACTCTCTGAGAATATCATCTCAATCCTCTTCCTCTTGCCTTTTCCAACAACTTGTATTTTTGTAATTTCATCTGCCCGCAATATCTTTTGCATCATCTCAACTAGCTCTTGAGGGTCATCTGAAGTGGAGGAAAGAGAAGTCCAAGCAGATGATACTATTCTGCTAGTCATCTAGTGACATCTGAAATTAAATTCTTATAAATGGGCTGCTTTGCAGATGGACTCACCACTCATGTACACTACTTTTACTAAATGTTTCTCTGTCTTCCTTTCTCCCACAGGCCAGTTAACTAGCACCTGCTCATTTGGTTTCAGGAGTCCTTCTAGTTCTCTGTCGTCATTGGGAAGATCCTGAATCCATGAAGTCTCTCCGATTTGTAGCGAATTATCATTTACAAAATCGAACAGCGTGAACTTTTTCATTTTTAAGGGATTTCCTTGTCACACAGCCACAGCCTGAAGAATTTCATAGGAAAAATAATTGTTATTTCATCATGTCACTGGTGTACATGAAGCTTTACAAACAGATTTTTTTAAAAAAATCCAACCCTCTCCTCCTTGGATCTTACAATCTGAGGGCCTCTTTGTGTGAAAATAACCTGTATAGGGGAAGAGAAAACTAGCCAAGTCGCCCGTGAACTCTTCCTTCAAAAGGGGAGAGAGGAAGAGTTTGCCCAGCATACATATAGCCACAGAAGTGGAAAGAGATTTGGTCTCAATGTGCAGCAGCAATCAAAAAAGCGAACAGAATGCTAGGAACCATTAGGAAAGGGATAGATAATGAGACAGAAAATATCATATTGCCTCTATATAAATCCATGGTACGGCCACATCTTGAATTCTGCTTGCAGATGTGGTCGCCCCATCTCAAAAAGATATATTAGAATTGGAAAAGGTTCAGAAAAGGGCAACAAAAATTATTAGGGGTATGGAGTGGCTTCCGTAAGAAGAGAGATTAATAAGACTGGGACTTTTCAGCTTGGAAAAGAGACAACTAAGGGGGGATATGATAGAGATCTATAAAATCATGACTGTATGGAGAAAGTAAATAAGGAAGTGTTATTTACTCCTTCTCATAACACACGAACTAGGGGTCACCAAATGAAATTAATAGACAGCAGGTTTAAAACAAACAAAAGGAAGTATTTCTTCACACAACGCAGTGTCAACCTGTAGAACTCTTTGCCAGAGGATGTTTTGAAGGCCAAGACTATAACAGAGTTCAAAAAAGAACTAGGTAAGTTCATGGTGGATAGGTCCATCAATGGCTATTAGCCGGGATGGGCAGGAATGGTGTCCCTAGCCTCTGTTTGCCAGAAGCTGGGAATGAGTGACAGGGAATGGATCACTTGATGCTTACCTGTTCATTCCCTCTGGGGCACCTGGCATTGGCTGCTGTTGGAAGACAGGATACTGGGCTAGATGGACCTTTGGTCTGACCCAGTATGGCCATTCTTATGTTCTCCAAACCTATATACTACAGGGGATCCACTGAAGAAAAGGGGCATTCACACAGAGGGTCTCTGCCTCCACACGACTACCTTGTCTCCTTATCTGTCTGCCGCCCCCTGACCACTATGCCTGGAGTTTCCCTCACCTTATAGGGTCCTGAATGCCAAGGTAAAAAAATATAGACTCAGAAGGCTTAAAGGTACAAAGATGATAAAAACTTTAGACAATAGTTTACCCTTGCAACTTGAGGTGTACGTATTGTGTATGCTATTTAAAGGGATGTATGACTAAAAAGACTATTAGTCATCCTATGGGCAACAAGATGTACAGTACAATTAGTCATATAGGAGCAACCCAGAACACCAAGGATAAGTGACTGGATGAAGTCTGACACATTCTGGCAATGGAAAAGTTGACATATATAAGAAATGACAATCTCAGGACTATTAGACAGTTGGGCTGCCTTTTATGAACTAGATTAAAGGCTACAAGGAGAACACAGAACCAACATTTACATTCCCCCCCCCCTTTTTTTTACATTAGACTCTTGAAGGAAAAGACTATTTTAATTCTCTTGGCAGTACTGAAATTTCATGGGCAGGGGGAAGGGAAGGAACAAAATGCAAACTGGAGTAGTTTATATTTTAGTTTGTTCTATTAAAAACAATGCAACATCATTTAAATGGCAGCAGATTATTGTTAAACGGATTACTACAAATATAAGTCAGTTCATATAGATGTATTACTTTCTGAAAATATTTTCTACTTTTAAATGGTCATTAGAATTTTTAGAAATAGCTATGGGATTTTGCCAAACTTTACTCTTCTCATGGACACATATATGGACCTATCTATCAGTTCAGGGAGGTACATCAGTTTTACAGAGCTGCAAACCAGTGAATGTATGAAGGCCCAAATGTGATAACTGAGTGATTTGTTTGGTCTCATTCTGTGTTAAGGTGATCTGGTGGTGTATGCATGGGCTGTCATGTAGTTAACCAGGAGCTGAAAAGGAGCACAATTGTTTGAGGCTATTATGCCAGAGTGAGAAGGTCTGGCTCAATGCTTTAAAAGGCAATTCACCCCTTTATGGAGGGCTAGCACAAGGCCTATGAACCATGGAAATGCTTCAGACGAGCTGGCCTTCTGCACAGGGATACATTTTGTCCTCTTAATTTTCAAAAGACCAAATATACTCCCCTCAAAAGGCTTAATGATATGATGCTCTAGTGATAGCCACTAGGCTGAGAAAGAAATTACCATTAAAAAATGGAATAAGAATTATCATTAGTACTCTCCATGAAGAGTTTGTTGGGTATGATATGAGTAGCATTGTGTAGGTCTGGTTTGTACTTCTATTTTACATTTTTTCACCGAAGTGCAATTTCATGAGATTACAATTTCTTTAATATGAATGCAAAGTACTCCACTTAGGAAGGAACAGTCAACTGCACACACACAAAATGGGAAATGACTGCCTAGGAAGGAGTACTGCAGAAAGGGATCTGGGAGTCATAGTGGATCACAAGCTGTATATGAGTCAACAGTGTAACACTGTTGCAAAAAAAGCAAACATCATTCTGGGATGTATCAGCAAGAATGTGGTAAGCAAGACACGAGAAGTAATTCTTCCACTCTACTCTGCACGATAAGGCCTCAGCTGGAGCATTGTGTTCAGTTCTGGGCGCCACATTTCAGGAAAGATGTGGACATACTGGAGAAAGTCAAGAGGAGAGCAACAAAAATTATTAAAGGTCTAGAAAACATGACCTATGAGGGAAGATTGAAAAAATTGGAGAAGTATGGAGAAGAGAAGACAGAGGGAGACAGACAGTTTTCAAGTACATAAAAGGTTGTTTTAAGGAGGAGGGTAAAAAATTGTTCTCCTTAACCTCTGAGGATAGGACAAGAAGCAATGGGGTTAAATTGCAGCAAGGGAGGTTTAGGTTGGACATTAGGAAAAACTTCCCCATTGTCAGAATGTGTTAAGCACTGGAATAAATTGCCTAGGGTGCTTATGGAATCTCCGTCATTGGAGGATTTTAAGAACAGGTTAGATAAACACTTGTCAGGAATGGTCTCGTTATCAGTTAGTCCTGCCTTGAAAGAAGGGGACTGGCCTAGATGACCTATTGAGGTCCCTTCCAGTCCTATACTTCTATGATTCTCAGAATAACTAGAAAGCCGCAGATGATCCGAAAACACCCAAAACTTTACACGTAAAGTCTGGGGAAGAGGAATCCCCAAGTCATGAATCACTAGGAGCCTGATTCTGCTGCCCTTACACATGCTGAGTAGTTCTTTAGTCCACAAGAAGGAATCACTCAACATTGGTGTAGGTGGCAGAATTGAGCCCTAAGGGTTGTGCTCCTGCTCCCAGTGAAGTTTTGCCACTGACTTCAATAGGAACGGATGAAGTCCAAAATTCACACTAAAATCAGGCCAATGGAATAGAAATTTGGCCAAAGTGAGATATACAAAGTGCAGGGTTTAAAAGAGGTCTGAGTACATGTGCATGCTCTGACAAACCCACTCTGCCTGACAGGGATAATTAGAGCCTTATCACAGCAGTCACGGACTCCGTAATTTATCATTATTTTTAAAAAAAATCTGAGACTTTTGAGGATTTTTGCATGTGGTGGGTGGATGTGATAGTAAACAACTGAACCTATTTCACTGAGAGCCTGCCAACTTAAAAACATGGGAATCTGACGGAAATTAGAAAATAATATTCAGGGCTAGTGATTTGTCACACAGTCATGGATTGCATGACTTCTCTGATTTTAGGGGGAGAAGTCACAGAGCTTTCAGGGCTGCTTTAAAAGGCATCTGTGCTGTGCTGCGCTGCGCTACTGCTGCTTTTGCAGAGGCTGAGGCAAAGAAGCAGTGCTGAAGAGGTGGCAGAGGCTCTCTAGTATCCACTTCTCTCTGCTGCTACTGCAGCACAGAATCAGCATGCAGTTCAGCTGTTTTAAATATATTAGCCGCGAAATGGTGTAAATCAGTTTTATTGCAACATAAAGGACACTGAGTCAAATAACACAACCTTCAATTTCTTTGGTATTTTTCTTTTCCCCCACTGATCTCTTCACACAATTTACTGTGACAAGCTAGAGACCCTCAGGGATAAATATCTACCTGTCTGTTGGCATCTTCTTGAGAAAGTCATTAAAGTGGTTGGAAAGGTAGAACAAAACGTCTGTAATGAAGAAAAGAAAAAGTCCAAGATCCTCCACCTATAGAAGGAAAAGGCAGGGCCAGTCTTGCAGTTCTTTCACATGCAAAACTCTCACTGGAGTCAGTAAAAACAATGAGGAGTCCGGTGGCACCTTAAAGACTAACAGATGTATTTGGGCATAAGCTTTCGTGGGGAAAAAACCCACTTCTTCAGATGGAGTCAGTGGGCGTCTTGCTTGAGTAAGGACTGGATGATAGGATGCATCATCTCCAGGAGATGTTATCTGACAAAACAGATCACCAAAATGTAAAACAAATGTGTACACACCCTGGGTAGGGCCACTAGTTGCTGCTTGGGCAGAATAAGAAAGAATCATAGTAAAAACTGCCAAATTTTTTTATTTAAAATAAAAAGCTGAAATGTGACATTTTGACAATTTATAAACTTTTTTCCTCAAAACCTTTTCAAAGTGGGAAATTTGTTGAAACAGATCTTTTCCAGCAAACAGTTTTACTTTCAATGAATCAGCATTATCCAATGAAAAAATGTTTGCTCAATAAACTCCAACCAGCTCAACTCATAAACCTGCACTGTAGAAGAGGGCAGCTTTATAATCTGATCCAGCCTCCAATAGCTCCACTGGTATAGGACTCCAGGGAGAGGCTATCTATGCATCTCCCAGCTGCCTTAGACCAGTGGTTCTCAAACTTTTGTATTGGTGACCCCTTTCACACAGCAAGCCTCTGAGTGCGACCCCCACTTATAAATTAAAAACACATTTTTTTATATTTAACACTACAGGCAGTCCTCAACTTTACGATGTTTG